ACCAATATGAATTTCAAGTCATCGTTTGTGATTTGAAAAAGAAACGTTTCTATTTATTCTGCTTAACTCTCTGGAGAAAATAAGATGCGTGACAAAATTTCCCTAATTTGCATTTTACTCGTCTCCCAAAACGAAATATAGCTTATTTCCGCAGTTCTTTACCTTTCCGATGAGTTGTGATCGATTCCAGTTCTCACATAAAACTGGAAGGATAAAGCTCTCGGCATTGATCAATCCCTGAGCAATGCGCCATATATTCGACTTCATTAGCTATCGTTGGAAGTGATTGAATGTTGGAAGCTATCCTCCCAGACATGTCTGGTGCCAATTTGCAGACACCGGTGGATGAAAGACTTAGTGAGCCACTGGCGCAGGGATCCATTCCACGTGTGTGTCGAAGGGTGCCTCCCACTGGGCCACATGAGCGCTTTCTAGTTCTCATGATTAAAATTAAAAAAGAGTACGACTCTGGCTTGAACCAGATCACGGTTTTGGAAATCTCTCTGAATTTTAGTGTAAAACTATGGTGTTTTCAAAACCGACTTTCCTTTAACCCCGGTATTACTTATCAACATATTCCCTTCTTTCATAAGCTTACGCGAAGCTGATAAGCAATGTTTATTCGGCTAACGTTTCAACGTCTTCATCTTCATCAGAACCGGCGATCCGAACCGATAGCCCATGGCTCTTATTCGACGCGATGTGGCGTCTTTATCTTCGTACCAAGTTCTGTCTTCCTCAGCGGACTGTCCATCTAGCATTTCGTTTGGCCTTTGGAATGAGCAGTACACGACGTACATTCGTCAGAACGTTGGCAGCCCATTAGTCAGTCATGTCCAATGACTGAGAATATTTACAGAGCAAAACTAATGACTAAAAAGTTTTTCAACCTATGAAAGCTCCTTAAAAAACAAATCTACTTCAAAGACTACTTAGCTACTAAAATTACTGGAATATTTTAAAGATAATGCGAGCGGCCCGTTCGGAGGAAATGTCGCATTGAAGCTTTAAGAGTTCTACGATTTCTTCCACAGTAATGTAAATTAATGTTTTTAGGTGACGGAAACACCTCTAGTAAAATTCGATGCCTGGTCATGCTGATGTTGCTGAGAGCTTGAGAAGTGCGTTATGGTATACTGGTTGAAAAACAATGACCAATCTTTAACGGCGACTATAAAACGCCACAAATTTGACCGTTCCCACTAAAAATATTCGCCAGTAATATAAAAACTTGAATGTTTTTGTGATTTCTAAGCCTGAAGTTCTGGACATGACAAATTCGTCAAGTACATTTTCAGCAGCTTTTTCGCTGTTGAAGATTTTCTCAGACCGCAGTTACCGAGATGCTAAAACAACGTGATAATTGGTAACCGAGAAGTTCAACGAGTTTGGTGGTGGACGCTAAGCTTTGTAGGCCAACTCTTTTAAGTCTTGTTCTATTAGTTGCAAAATATAGTCGGGCATTATCGTCAAAGATGAATAGACTTTGCCTTAATGCAAATTTTGCACCCATGCGTTGCAATTTTTCAGGAGACTTTTCGATTTAAACAGGACAAGTGTAACATAGTGGCTGGAGGAGTTTTCAGTATACGTCAGTATACATGAGGTCGATCCCACTCACAAGGTTCATCAACCCTTCCATCCGTTCGGGGTAGACAAATTTTTACCTGGAGCTCTGGGAGGTTGGCAGCGCTGAGTCGATACAACGGTAGGCCACCGAGAGTCCCTGTGTGGGCCAGAAGTCGAATGCATTGCGCATCCCTTCGGAATTGATCAAAGCGAAAAGTTTTACCGTTTATCCATTCATTCTCGTAGGTCTTGGACATCGCTTTAGTGTTGAGATCGTTTCGTTTACGTTGAAAACCTTCTGTTATACGATTTGCTTTGTCGAAAACAAAAAACTATCAAATTAAGCCTTAAAAAATGCCTATTAGATTCATCTTGGAATGCGAACTGACACTGCTGCCTGTTGCCGTATAGAATTTACTTTCCATCTTACACCACAGCACGATCGAGAAATTGGAGGTTTTCGGCAGGAAAAAGAAGTGCGGAGTGAACTCCGTGGTTGTGAGCCTACCCCATTTTGTTATTCGCTGAATTTATTCGAGACCAAGTTCACCAGCTTTTCCACCTTTCCAATGTCTTCCAAACAACGCACGACCGCCCACACTCAGCTTTTCTTTGAACGGAATCTTTCAACTCTTGCTTTCCGATGGTTACATGAACTGCCAACAGGCATCCACGACGTAATCCATCAAGAAGAACTCGACTCATCTCTCCGATACAAAAAGTTGGAAGCCATCTGTGCATTGCTCGTTCCGAACTTTTTTCTGTGCGAGAATATAGAATTGATCTGGTTGCTTTATGTCCAATATTCAGTTCACAAAAATATATGCAATTTTCATTTTTTAAGGGCAACCATTTTAACCAACCCGAAGTCGCTGCAAATTAGGCGTTAAGAGAACGTTTCAGGGGAAATAGTGGTACATGGCGCAAGCTATGACAAGATGTCAAAGAGCTGTATAAGGAGATAGATTTTATGAAATTTTTCCACATATTTCGACAAAAGTGGCCATTATGTTTCTGTTGGTTTATCTCTAGAACAACACATTTTTAAGAGAACAGACGACTGAAAGGACTTCGAAGAAGGTGGAATTCGCGGAAGCGTTGGGCCTAGTAGTAACCTCGTGTTGGATACGATTGTGTTCTTGTAGAGAAGAATCAAGAACTACAAAGTTACAAAATTACCAAATACTAATATTAAACCTTGACTGGTACTTTTAACGCAAAAATGAAATCTTATGTCTATAACGCATTCAAGTTTCCACCATTATGAGCCGTTCTTTAAAGTAGATTCTTGAGTTCTTCCATTAGACTACCACAAACGAGCTCTTTGAGGACTACCAAGACTGAAAAATGAACACAAGGACTTGACGAGTAGGTAAGATACCTAATGACTTAGGTTAGAGCTCGAAGAGGCATGCAGGGCGTTAACTTTATTTGAGAATCGCCAACTATTTGGAACTATTCACGTAGAAACGATTTAACACATAAGAAATGTCATCAAGAGGGGAATGCTTTCCATAGAATTTGATTCAGAGGATTTCAAACGTTCCTTAAAGGCTCCAGTCCACGTTTTCTAGTTCACACTTGCCTTTGTGTTACTCAGAAGTGCTAAAAGTTCCTACTGTTCATGCAACTTTCATGACTTTATAAAAAGAAGCTAACAACAAAAAAGGAGCTTGTGGCGCAGTGGTCGGAGGCCTCCTTCAACACACAAGCGGAATCGATCCCACACCCATAGCCCACCAAGCCTACCATCCCACCAGGCCGGCAAATCGGTACCAGACATCCCACCAGGCCGGCAAATCGGTACCAGACCTAATTGGGAGATAGCTGCACTGGCTCGATATGTAGGCCACCGCGATTCACTGCAAAGGAAGGATATGCATTCAATAATCTCCAAACGATGCTTAGTGAAGTCGAATGCATGAGGCATCCCTCAGGGATTAATCAAAGCCGAACGCTTTTATCCTTTATGACAACGAAAGTGAAGTGATATGAGTTTTCGAACAGTGTCCATTGGCATACTTCATTGTTCATTATATAGAGTTAAACACACAGTAAGAACCTCCCTTAACTGGCACACTATGTCAGAGCACGAAAGCAAAAACAGTAGGATCGAATAAATCTTTGCATGTTATAAAACTAGAACTATTTCAAAATGTGGATAGGAGATTCGTTAGAGACACTACAATAATGAACTGAAACAGCACGGAAATCGTCAGATTTTAATAGCAGAGTTCACGACACAAAACATGCGGCGACGTGAGAATATCGCGCCTAGAAAAGACCCGTTGAATAAAGAATGCACCCAGATAGAATATGCAGGGACAACGAAACCGAAAACATCTGGAGAATTGAGTGAGTTCAGAAATGCTGCAACAAATGAGGCAAAAATCAGACCAGCTTTCTCTTGGTAACAAACGAAGTATAGTGAACTACGGGCATCTATAGAAGACAATACATGCCGATTCATTAACATGTTTCAAAGAGATCGATAGCGCACAGTAGAAAATGAGCACGTTGACAAACAGGACCTAAGTTACGAGTTTTGCAAAATATGGATTTGATGTGCTATTTGGATTTTCGAATCAATGTAGACAAGAACCGGGATTCACAATGGAGCTGCAAGGGAAGCAGCATAAGTTAAGAAAGTTGTTTTTGCTTTCCATTTTCTTAACTTTTAGTAAATAACTGGAAATCATTCAGGAATTTAGCTGTTCTGTTTCACCACTTATCACCCGGGTGTTGTAAAATCGAATCAAGGATTACAAATGATAATCCATGGCTTGTCGAACATTCGCTTCAGCTATGATCCACGAAGCTTCCTAATCAAAAGCACTGTTGTTTTACATTAGCTAGATATGTCGTGTGATGAACCCAGCCTCAACGAAATAGTGCTAAATTATTGGTAAAATTGGATAACTCTAATATTGGCACAACACCAGGTGTTCACTACGCTCGTTGTGATTGAGCACTATCCATCTGACTTTGCCTTTTGTGAATTCCGATTCAGAAATTGAAAACAGCTTTAGAACCTCAACGCAGATGGAAAGGATGTCGAGTTAGTAGATAACGTTTGACTGCACGAGCTTCGGCTGATACCGTTCTCTAGCGCTGAAGCGGCGGAAATCTTCGGTTTTTCGAACATTCGCGACTGTGCTATCTTGGACTTCACACCAAACATTTCGAAAAAGCTACGACGCAACTGAAACTGTCAATATTATTCGGATAATAATAAATCTCTATGTACTGTGCACGACTGCGCTAGGATTTAACGCTGGACAGACCTCGTCGCTACTCTACACAAAACACCAGTTCCTTCAAAAAAAAAAAAATCGGTTTCTAAACGTCAACTGACTTTTACAGCCCTGTTTTGAATAGTGTCCATTGATAATCACAAAAATTTTACGTCCGACTATTTTGAAATCAAAAGGCTAACAGCTATGTGATGGGAAAAGTGGATGTACCTGGAAATCTGTAATGAAGGAAAGAATTGGGTCTACTACTATTCGAAGCAGCAGCGTGCTTCGAACGAAAGCCAGAATTCGCATCATTTCCGGAAGGTGGCGTTGAAAGAAGCATTGATCCCTAATCAGAAGCAGTCCAATGCACCTGCATTTGCTCTCATGAGGATCGCAATGGTAATGGTATTCATTTTCCTACGAAAGTGTCGAAACGTCTACAGGCAAAAATAAAATCTACATAAAACACCGAAATCAAAAATTAGTCCAGCGAAGCCACTACTAAAGTGCAGAGAAGTAGTAACAGACCGATCAACTAACCAGATAACGTAGAATAAATAGAGACCAGCGAACGTCGCAACATTGATAGCAAGTTTCCAGAGTGGAAATCGTACCCATCGACCACCTTCAGTCTCATTCGACTCTCGTTTCTTGAACGAATCTACGAATCTCTGTGCGCGTCGAATCAGCAAAACTGAATAATTTAAAGAGTAAAGTGAATGAATTAATTCAAAGCACACCTAAAAACATTCTTTGCATCTTAAAGACTTGGACCATTGCAAACACCGTCGTAAGAAATCGCAGCGCTTCGATGCACTACCTGTTCAATTGAACGTTCAGCATTTTCTTTAAAGCAACCAAAAGCATTTCTTTGCATAGTTAGTTTGAATACTGCCGTTTCTCCTATTGTTCCTCCTTTTCGTACATTCCTTGCCAATGGAAAATATTTTAATGTTGACTTTTTACTTACTGCCTTTTACAAGTTTCTACGGCAGAGTTTTATTTGTGAAACAAGCGCAATAATGCTGAGATATTTGCAAAACACCGGCCCGCAGGTATCTGTCTACAGTTTGAGAGACAGGCGAAATGAAGGACCTGCAAGGTGTGGTGGTGATCCCGGAAAGGATAATAGCGCGTTCGTTCTCCACCGCAGACACCTGCAGTCCGGAGTTTTGCAAATATCTCAGCATCATTGTGGAATATGTCTTACTATGATGACTGCTTTTTCGATTATGGCAAAGTAAAGCAAAATCCACTACTTTCGGAATTGGTTATGTTTATTCACTAGGTGAAAATTTTTTCATAGTTTGTAAAAGCAAGCTGCTATTGTAGTCCTCGTAATCTGAAGCGGATTCTAGACACCGAACCAACATATGAGAACTCATACCCACTAATATCCAACGAAAATAGTGGGACGACTGCGCTATCGATGTGTGGCACATGGCCACGATAGGCAGCTTGCGTCACGTAGTGATGAAGATGAAAAGGCCTTCACTAAGTCAGAACGATATGTTAAAAAAAACTTCCTCAGAAAGGAAGTGAAGAGTGTCTGTATTGAGAATTTACGAAAATCAGCAGCGAATTTCACTTTTTGTGCAAAGAACATACCGATTTTAGTAGTACAAGCCGCTTCTGCATCTTTAAATGTGTTAATATCATTCCTATCACCTAATGTCTCCAATGTGAACAAATATTCCACTGGAGTTTTCAAATAGTCAACGAAATAACTTCGTCTTCAGTACGTTTAGGGTGTCGGCACACTCACCAGTAACCAAGAAGACGACCAAAGTGAAGAAATACACACTGACAGTGAAAACGTTACGTGACCTGGAATTCGTTTGTTCATCAACAAGGCTCAGAAGCGACCATGACCAGCTAAGGTAATTCGTGCTAACTAAAAATAACAGAATACAAAAAAACTAGGTAACTACAACGGACCTATACATAGCTCTTGCGCATGTTTCCATCCTACATCCGGACCATTCGTTTAGGGCGGGTACTTTCACCAACGCTGTCACACCCAACGTGTAACTAACCATCAGGATAAACATCACCCAACTGAAAGAATCGCACATCGTAAATTTTGCAGCTAGTTTTTTTCGAGATTTTTTTTGTTTTTGTGCATTCGAGTGAAATGAAAAGCATAAATGTACCTTTATCATTATTGTTCTTGAGAACTAAACCACTGCGTGACACTATGTTGTGTCGTGCCCCTTCTATGGTATACAGGGATTTCTTACTTGCCGCAATGTATGTATTCTATCGATAGCGTGTCAAGCTTAGATCCAACATCAGAAGTGGGTCGTAAAAAGGTGTTTTCTATGCATAATAATTTCATTAAAAAGGTCTTTTTGGACGTGATCATTTTGTGACGAGAAACTATCGTTATCGAAGAGAGTGTGCAGCACAGACAATATGGCTATTGAAGAGACGCAGAAATGACTCTGCTTGAACCTAGGAGAGTCGACATATAGGGAATGCTACTGCACGTTTGGACGTGTATGTAGCTACATTTAGTTGCTAGTGCTTCCACAGCGCCGTTGCGTAAGGTTGGTAGGCGAGCTTTGCGCAATGGGTGCGGGTTATTTATTACCAATAGTGATTGGATCATAAACGATAAAAGGCCATCTTTTTCTTGCTTTTTGTAGCCAGATTTGTTATTGTTACGTGGATCCTTCTTCATCTCCATAGCCACTTTTGCTTTCTATTTGGTTGTTCGGGAATAAATGGTCCTGTATCTTCAACGTGGTAAATCTTAGCTGAGAGTGAACCAGATTAAAGGATGAAGAATGGAGCTCTCGGCGTTTATCAATCCTTGAGGAGCGCGCCATGAATTCGACTTTGTTAAGTATCGTTGGAGGTGACTTAGTGGATATCTGTTTTTTACAAGGACTCGCAGTGGTCTACCGATGTATCGAGCCAGTGATGCTATCCTCTCAGGCAAGTCTGGTACCAATTGCCCACTCCGGAGAGATGGAAGACTTGGTAAGCCACAGCTGCGGTGATCGATCCCATGTGTGCATCGCATGGATCATGGATCATGTTCGTACAATGATATTTACTACATGCAACACTTGGGACGACGATAAGTAGTGTATTAATTTTAATAAATGATATTTCACTATTAAGTACAGAAGAAAATAAACGTTTCCGTGTGGTGGAACTGACTTGACCTCAGGCCACAGCAGTCACTCGCAGGTGATAGAATGCATATCTGGCCTTTATAATGACTCGCAGTGGCCTACCGATGTATCGACCCAGTGCTGTTTTCCTTCCAGACGAATCAGGTACCAATTTGCCGACCCCGGAGGGATGGAAGACTTGGTGGGCCATGGGCGCGGTGATCGGTTCCAGATGTGTGTTAGAAGGCCCCTTCGACCATTGCGCCACACGCGACCAAGAATAAACCTGATTAGTTCGACTAGACCGATTACATTTCTTTCCATAAAATTTATGACAAGAGTAGTTTACACTTTGATTTGATTATATAGAGAAAGAAGTGCATGGAATGACCATGCCAGTAATATGTGGCATTACTGCATATGAGAAAAATCGCCTAATTCCCAGGACAATTTCTATCCCAGCTTGCGCTAAAAATTTGGCAAGTAAAAGTCGAAAACAAAAAAAATAAGAAATAAAAATTAGTCGGGTTGGTTAAAAATTTGTGAACTGGCAACTTAAGTTTCAATAGACTACAACACCACCGATCTATTGTTCGTAAAAATATTACAGCTTAAAAGATTTTCACGTGAAATTATTATAACCGAAGCTTCAGCGGTAAGATAGTGGCGACATATGTTTTCAAGACAAGCCGGCCATTTGAAATCAGGTGATTACTGAATTTCTTCATGACAGATTAACCACACGACCGTAGTGAAATCCTGAGGTCGGTGGTGAAAAGTTGAACCATTGACGTTAACCTTTGCGTGTAGTCGCCAGCCTGTCCCTAGGGCTGCTGGCAAACTTCATGTCTGAGCCAAATGAATCTCGTGACTAAGAATAATATGCTTTTTTCATCATTCTGCCATCTTACAAAGTGAATCTCTCACCTAAGGGTGATGAGATTGATGCATCTCTTCATCGTGAACCATTTGCGATAGTGAAACGGTCTCCACACGGCAAACAACTAAAATGCCGAAATAACAAAAAAAATCATACAAGAAGACTTATTAAAAAAATCAACTTTAGCGACTTCTAACATTCTTACCTTAAGCACAGAAAGAGCAACGTAGGATACCATGGCGGACCAGAATGAACCAGTGAAGAACGATTCCATGAGATTAACCATGTCGCGACTAGAACCGGTACGAATTTGAGAGGATGGTGTGGTTATTGGAAAAATAATCCCAATAACTTTCGTTTATAAACAAGGTTTATGTATCCGAAAAGTTGTGTATTCTGGAAATATAAATGATTGATTGCATTCAGAGCTACGATTAGATTTTCTGCATTGAAGGACGCACGATTGTTTTTAAATGCTGTGATATTTTTAGAAAAAGAAGTAAACTAGCAGCAACAGATCCCTTTACTTCTTAGACAGTAATCTTTGATCCGAAATCAATTCTTGGACCTGTAATAACGGTAATCTGCTAGATTGTATCCGTATGTCTATTGAAAGGTGTATTATATTTTTGTATAATGATAAAAAAGGATAAAGTTCTCGGCTTTGACCAATCCCTGAGGGATGCGCCATGCATTAGACTTTGTTAAATATCGTTGGAGGTGACTTAATGGATTGTCCTTTACGATGACTCGCGATGGCCTACCGTTGTATCGAGTCGAGCCAGTGATGCTACCTTCCCAAACAAGCCTGGTACCAATTTGACGACCCCGGAGGGATGGAAGGCTTGGTGAGCCACAGGTGCGGTGATCGATCTCAAGTGTGCATCGCATGGATCATGGATGATGCCGGTACAATGATATTTATATTTATATGCAACACTTAGGACGACGACAAGTAGTGTATTAATCTTAATAAATAAAATTTTCACTATTTAGTACAGAAGAAAATAAACGTCTCTGTGTGGTGGAACTGACTTGATCTCAGGCCACAGCAGTACGTACGCGCAGACGACCAACGCTACGAGACAAGAGACCAGATCTCCAATCGCCCTGTTCAGCAGCAATATGTAGCATTTTCGACTTACGAGACGAGCTTTGATTGCCTGGAACACATTCATGCTATCCTTTAAATATTTGTTTCTAGTAACTTTGCACCTCATAGGAGGGTGCTTTGAGATTTCTATCTGGAAGCCGAGATCAGACCGGAATTAACCGCATCGTTTAAGAAATCAAGTGCTAAGATAGGAAATGCCCTTTCGATCCACGTGACCCATAGACTGCGCGTTATGAGGGCCTTTACGCTTTTGGAGACGAAGTTGCCGGTTACTCTAGCAAGAACCGACTAAACAAGCAAATTGTTAGTTAGATGAAGTTTCTCGACGGAATTCTTCGTGAAAACGAACCATTCGCTACCAAGTTATTATTTGTCCGATTTCTCTCTTAATTTGTTCTTGTAACTCAACTATTTGCTCCGCGAATCCTATCAGCTACTCCAATTTTCTATTTATCCGACAAGGCTTTACCTTCTGAAATCACTGCATATTCAAGATTTTTGCCAAAAAGCTCTCTTATTTTAAACGTTAGTGTTAATACATTTTAATAAAAATATTGGTACTAATATTTCAAAAACCGACTGCTCTTCAACCTCGGTATGAATAGTCAACATATGTTTAAACTTTTCAGCTTGTACGAGATTCTCATAAAACTCTTATCGGGCAAACAATTCAATGTCTTCGTCTTCCTAAAAACTGGTAATTTGCTACTCGAGAACAACTTCCACAGTTCTTTGTACTCTCGATTGGTGTCTTCGCTCTCGTAACGAGACGGATCTTATCCAGTGGAGCACAGCTCCAATAAGGCAATCTTTGCGCTCTGAGCTAGTTGATAATGATGCCGACTTCTGCAGGATGGATTGTCCAGGAAAAACAAGTTATCATCAGCTGATAATCATATGAACAACAACGGCCCTGTGTAAAAGACCACTGCCGAGTGAGGTTCCCTTATTTGAATGGTGGGCCACTGAAGAAGACCAGACTAGATTCGACGACAAGGAAACCACGTCAAGAGAATGAAGAACTGTGGACATCGAAGCGGATCGTTAGACGTGTGGAAAACGAGGACGTAGAAATGTTAGCTGGATGAAATTTCATAACAACCTCGCTTAAGCTGAACAATTTAAATAAAGATGAATAAATATTCCGATAATATTGATATGTGGGTACCAGCAATATTGCATCAGTATTTAAAATTGTACATATTCTTGCTGTTAAGTGTTTCGTTGCTTTGTTTTACATGACCAGCCATCACATGTATGCAGATCTCAGCACTTCCTTGCGTTCGATTCGCCTTCCACATTTTCGCTACATCACACCCAGGACAGAAAGGTCCTCGAACATTTCACGTGTTGTTTCGGCTGCTCCTCGTTGAATCGATTTTCATTGCCCTGTAGGTCATAACCGAGGTAAAGCGTTTTACTGGCTTCGAGAGTGGAGCAGTGGTCGAACCAGAACCTTGCTTCTTGTTGGACTGCATCACTAACCACTGTGCTGCCCTTTTTACCCAATATTGACTAACATTTTAGTAACTGCCACGACCGACTTTCTATTAACCTCGGCATTGATCAAGTGATTTTGTTCGTATTTTTTTGAGCAAACGCGAGGTGTTATTGTTCTTTGTTCACGATTAAGCTGACGTTTCGGCGAATTTCGCCTTCTTCAGAGCCTGGAAAGGTCAAGTTGATAGCAACTCACTCGCCCAGACGCCTCCATAACTAAACAAAGAAACTCCAAACCAAGATTTCAATCACTTTGAACACAGCTTTGCACACTCACCGCTTTCTATGAGGTCTCCACTAAGTATGTCACGTAGAGACCAACCGCACAGAAATCACGTGGAAGTATAATGTGCCCCTCACATCAGAAAAGCAGTTTTATATACTGCCCTATATCACGCGTGATAATGAGGCATTCTTCCCTGCGGTTCATTTTCGGATTTCTGGAATTAATCCAGAGTGCCTCGAGAGTTTTTCGCGCCTGTGTTCTTGATTCGCGTGCGACGATCGTGACACATACTTCGAAGTCGTCCCCGTTATGTCTCTGGGTCCTATGCGTGCCTAGCGGGGTATTTGGTCTATTTTTGCTGGCTAGGTGTTCTTTCATGCGGACACAGAGGGGTCTACCCGTTTCGCCAATGTATTCGTCACCACACGTCTTACAGGAGATCAGATAAACTATACCCGAGCTCATGCAAACATGAGTGAGTGAGTGAGTGCAAACTTAACATTTTAGTATTGATGTCTAATACATCAATCTTAATGTGGATTCGTAGCAGTATATTAATGCTAGTTAATATTTAATATATATAATATTGGAGCGGGTGGAATGCACAGTGGTAGTGATGTAGGTTATCACAAGCAAGTTACTCGTTCAAACCGGCTCCGGGCTCGCTAACCCTCTCATCATGGGAGGAAATAAACACTATGCAATCCAAATAGGAAAGCTCCAGCGTGGCTATTTCAGGACTCTAGTGAGAATCGAGTCGTCTAGAATTCTACGACATTCAAAATGAAATGCAAATCCTCAAGCAGCAGCCGAAGCCACATGGAAGAACATAATATCGGAGACCTCTGTGGCTGATGGATGCAGGGAAAGGAATCGAATCGTAGAAGTGCTGGGATCCTCGCAATAACTGCAAAGTCAAGTCGTATAAAAATTGAAGAGCTATCAATAACAATCTTAACCCTTTTATTTACTGCCTTTTTCATTTTAATGGCAGGGTATGTTGCGAAATATAACTCGTATATAATGCTGAGATATTTGCAAAACTCCGGACCGCAGGTGTAAGCGGTGGGGAACGAACGCGCGCTATTGTTCCTTACGGGGAGTAGCGCACTTCACCACCACACCATCCGGTCCGGAGTTTTGCAAATATCTCAGCATTATATACGGATCAATAACAATTTTTTAACAACATAGATTATATAATAATAATAATACCAGTGTAATGTTAATAACATTAATAACTTTGAAAACTTCGGCGCATTAATAACTTAATAAAAAATCCTGAAACCGACTTTCTATTAACCTTAGCATTAATGAAATAATTCACTGTCTTCTTGATGAGCAAGCAGGACTCTCGTATTATAGTATTTACTAATACACCATACATAGCTGACGTTTCAACGGTTTCACCTTCTTCGGAGTTCAACCACCAAAATGTCAGCTATTGTGTAAAAATAAATGATGTAAAACTAACTTGCTCATTAGGAAGATCATGAATTATGTGATCAACGCCGTGGTTAATAGAGTCGGTTTTGGATGTGCTGCATAAAGTACCAGCAGAATACAGAGTGGTATGTACCTAGTTCTTTAAGACTACCATTGCTATGATGTTCTTTTTCATTTTTAGAACTTTTTTTTCGTCTCGGAACGGTTATGCACTACTTAGTTTCCTCAGACGGTCCGTGTACATTAGCATAAAGAAGTCCTGTCACGAAGACAGAAGACGTCGAAGTCTTAGGTCCCTCTTTATTTTTCTCTGAGTTAAACATCGAGTCCTGCCGAATTTCATTAAACGAAGGCGACTACACGATGTCTGTGGTCTACCAAAGGACCGACAACAAATACCGGACATCGATGTGGGACTACTGTGCGCCCCAGACATTGAAGACGATGCACACAGGACATCGTGTACGCTCAACCGAAAAAGTGCGAATCGAAGGAATCTCGTTGTACTCAATATTTGGAGAATCACCTTTAGAGAAGAGTAATGAGCTCTGAAAAAGACGAAACCACTGGAACGTCAGATATTGGAAATGAATGAATCCTGTAATAATAACGTCGTATTTGCTCATCAAAAAAAGCGAATTATTGGATAAGTACGAAAGCCCCTTCAGTGGCACTTCAGGAATGATAGTGTAGGACGTGCTCTTTTAAGCTGTCTACAACTTTCATCTCGAAAGAAAACGGCCATAGTATCGTAGGATCTTGATGAAGTCCAAAAACGATTAAATGGATATGTGGAAGATAAGGAGAGTATTATAAACGTGAATAACCAAAAAAATATGAAGGGAAGCCGATCAGTAGAACAAGAAGTGCAACACTTAAATTTTCGGCTTAACCGTACAACTGTCTAAATTGACAACTTTTGACAGAGGGAGGTTAGCAGGAGGAATCACAAGAACGGATTTGTTTCGATTCCACATCGGGCCCAACAAGCCCCTCATTCCTCCGGGGTTTGAAAATTGCTACCAGACTCGTCTGGATCGTACTTACGCCTTCAAATAGACGCATGAACGCTCTTCCACAGCTATAACAAAACCGGAGAAAGAATTAATTTGATAAGGATTCAACGACGTACGTGAAGAACACAACAAACTGCAAGCATCAGCCGAATCCACACACGAGATATTCAAAGACTCTCGTAAACAGTGGGATAGGAGTTAATGGGTCGAAAGCAGGAAGGGCTAAGATTTTTACAGTAGATGTGGATAAGTCGAGTAAAATAAAATAGAAAAATGGTAGTTTTCGACTCGTTTACTGCATTATTATAGCAGAGTGCACAGTATTCCTCAGTACCTTTTCCGCCTGTGTTATCTCGACGGTAAACGTCCAACTTTCGTCTAAAAGCAGTGCTATTCTTTTTTTCGCTTTATTTCATTTATTTTATCGACTAACCATGGTTTTAGCATTAACGGTATAGGTGGTACAAAGAAAGTGTGTAATTGCTCTGTTTTCCAACATTTCTAAACGAAGTGAACTTTAGACATTAGTCAAGCGACTTAAAGCAATGCCGAGGGAAAACTCCAAAAAGATCTGTCGGCTTGTTCCTTCGAACAAGCCACTTGGAACTAAATCTCAAGCCACTGCTGTATCTGAAAGGTAACCTGGTGTGTATGACAGTTGTAAGACAACAAAATGAATGAAAATGAAAAACGGCTTTGGTCCGTATGACGAAGACAGAGTCACATAATAACCAAGGTAATTGTGACAGAGGTATCACCACATTATTAATTCATTCTTTTCACTTATAGATTACGTAAAAAACAGAAATTCGAGCGTGGTTTTAATCGTCTTAACACTTTTTTGTAAACTTTTTATTCTAACGATGCAATGGTACACTGCATTCGAAGTTTTCGCACTAACATCATTTTTAATGACCTGGGCACAGTTCAAGAGCTAAGTAAGTTAATTTACCTACTAAATCTTCAAGCCATTTAGTAAGAAAGGAAATGTTGTTTGTCAAACCAACAGGCGACAATCCTGGATTATATATTTCCGTTCTACGATTTAAGAAATAGGTTTCACTGGCTAAAATTGCGACACAAGAATCGCTTAATTAGCAAAAAATCGAAACTTTTCATTGAGACATTACCTGATAAGCTGCGAGAATGAAGAGCGAGACAAGGATGGCTCCGATCAGAGCCAATGGCATCATCATCCATCCGAAGTACGTGCGAAACACATACTCCACACGCAAGCCTTGACGACGCTGAAACCATTTCCGCTTATTTAACACTTCTGTTTTTCCTCCAAGAAACCTTGGTAGATCTAGAAAAGGCTACAGCATTCATCTTCTTCAAGGAAAAGTGGTTATCTGGTAATGTCCATTTGCCTAATGTTTTTTGCACTGGTATTCGTTTTGCTGAAAGTAAAGATGCGCTCTGAAGTTTCCGACATGATTAATCTTCTGAATGCCACGAAAAACTTGTTCTCATAGACATATTTACAACCGTAAAAAAAGGATTGGCATTAATAAAAAACTCCGTTAAGAAAGGCTACCTAGGGAATGTGTAGTGTTTATCCTGGAACTCGAATTACGTTGTTGAGCCAGGTCAACAAAGTTAGAAAAGAATCCAAAATTTTCATACGAAAGACAAGCGAGTAGTAAAATCGTGCCACTAAAGATGTTCTCCAGCTACATGAATGTAGTGCAAATGAGAAAAGGACAGTAGACTGGAACTATAACGTTCTTTATGGATCGTGATTACCATGGACGGAGCAACTGTGTTACTCTTGCTCGCGAAGCAGCGAATGGGAATGATAATTCAATGTTTTTCATCAATAAGCAGACACGAGGTTGTTAATATAGAATTTATTAGAACACAATTGCTGACGTTTCGGCGGTTTCGCCTTCTTCAGAGCCTGGAAAGGTCAAATTGAGATGCGATCTACTCAGCCAAACACTTTCATAACCCCAGCAGATAAAACTTGATAAATCGATTTGTGTTCGCATAAGAAACAGCTTCATTCAAACACCTACCGTTTATTTGTTGTAAGTATTTAAGTTAGTTGGTGGATAGCCGCCGCACAGAGTAATACATGGTCGATAACTGGGTCCATGTCAGATCATTGGATCAGCCTGAGGTATGGCGCTAGGTCACGCGTGATGACAAGACACTCCTCCTTGCGGTTCATTTTTGAATTTTTGGCATTGATCCAAAACGCTTCAAGAGTTTTTCGCGCTGATGTTTTCGATTCCTGCGTAAGGATAATGGGAATGAGTTTGGTGGCTGTTTCAAACACATAGCCTACCAGATGCATCAAATTCTACTGGCATTTTCTCAGTAATTTATATCTCTACAACAAAAGTAATCAAAAGTTTACTATCAGTCATATAGATGTCATCGAGAGGTAATGATTAGTTGGGTGCGCTAGCCTGTGAAGCCCCGATATCGTGACTGTGTTAGAGCTTCAGGAAAACAAAACTCGCCCAACCAGCAAAGTGTTAGTCTCAATTTCCTGCTTACCATTTGTCCACCCACAATGTTTTATGATAAGACAGTCACTCAAGGACTATTTTATCGAACTGAATTCTAACAGACAATCGCATAAACAACCCGAACTGAAAGTCACATGTCAAATCGTTAATACAAATCTCGTCCTTCATATTACGTACACTTTTATCTGCCTGCCACGGATCTCCCTCATATGAAGAATATCGAGCCGGTTAGTCGCGAGGCCACATGGCGCGTTCCCAGGTGACGAGTAGCGGGTTAATCGCGGACCAAAAGCGACCTTTGCTTCACTGAGACGCAGGTGGATCCAGGGGATAGACTCCCTGTTTTTGCTGCGCCGATTTGGCACATACTTTCTGTATTTACGAGGCGTACTTATGCATGCGCGTGTGAGGTGCGTTTTCGTTTATGGGGATTCTATTCCATGAGTTAATTCGGCCAAAAGCCTGTAATCAAGTGACAGGGAAGTATATGGGAGGCGGATAGGAGTTGCCTCCAATAAATAAGCTCCACGTCCACTCTGGGAGAGTCTGGCAAGCTACCCGTGAGCATACCCAGCCTCACGTTTAGAGCCCAGCAAGATACACGTGGGTATCAAAATGCTAAACACAGTAAGAAAAAATGAGCCTCATTCCCCTTACCCCGAAAGAGCCCCAATTTCGCAGCTTTGGGTAGGACGATTACGGAGAGGCTGCTAAAATCTCAGGGTCATTCTGGCTGCGTGAACTGGAAAGAACCAAAGTGACGATCTCTACCTACAAGGCATGCACACTTGCATTCGGGCCCTCGACAGAAGACTTGCTCATGCAAGCAAGAAGATTAAGGTACGACGTCATCGGCCTGGCTAAAACGAGACGACGCCACCGTGTATGACACCGGAGAAGGACTGTTCCTCGGAACATGCCACAGTGGAGGAGTCGGCGGAGTCGGCGGCGTCGGCGTTCTCGTCAACAAGAGTTTGTCCATGCACATCGATTCATTCGAACAGCTTACAACCCGAATCGGACGTACGATTAAAAAGATGTGGATCAATACCGGTTTTGACAATCTTCGCCGTTTACACGCCAACATCAAACTATGACGAAGAAGAAGTCGAAGCGTTCTATGTGGACTTGCAGAAGTTCTTCAGAGAAGTCCGTACATTCCTTAAGGTCATCATTAGAGAGTTCAACGCCAAGATTGGGCTAAGAAAAACGTCACATTGGGACCCACGGATTAGAATAGAACGAACAGGATGAGCGGCTGTCTGAGTTTATCATGGTGACCAAGAAAAGCCATGGTAACTCGCAATTCCAGAAACTCCACCCTCAGCGCTGGACGTGGGAGTCTCCCAATGGAGAGTACCACAGCGAAATAGACTACCTCATAGTAAATAGAAGGTTTTGCCTAACCGATTTCGCTGTTGTCGCAAAATTCTACACGGGATCAGTCCATTGTCTCCTTCGTGCTAGATTCTTTTTCGCGGAAAGGAGAAAAGCCGATAAATTCAAAACCCGAAGTCCCGGAACCACCGCAAACTGGGACTTATTCAATTCATTAGTCGGCTGTCAGGAAAATGCCGTTGTCGATAACATCGGCGAAGAATACGATCGGCCCATTCAACATCTTCACGTTAGCGCTATGAAAACTCAGAGTTCGAAGGTCAACAAGAGACGTCTGTCTCCAGAAAGACTCGAGCTGATACGCCAGCGTGGAATCGAACGAGTTGTAGGCAATCGCGAATTAACCTCCGAACTTGGAAAACATTGCAGAAGGGTGATCAAAAAAGATCTTAAAGAGAGAAGAGCAACAGTAATGGTCGAAGCTAGAGAGGCTAGGGAAAGCATTCGCAAAGCCCACCGAAGCTTCGCTAGTTACAAGACCAGGATGATTAACTCCGACGGAACAGTTACAGCAACAGAAAGGCAGTGGAGAAAATCATTTACGAGTACTAATCAGATCTCTTCGATAGCCACGTCCACCTTCCGTCGTATGAAATAAAGGAGGATGGATATGTTGCATCACCGGTTCTTTCCTCCGGAACCCGACACGCTATTTCGTCGGTGAAAAATCGAACGGCACCAGGTCCGGACAGGATAAGACCAGAACATCTGAAGAACCTTCCGCCTGTCCTCTTAAACACAATGGCTCGGCTGTTCACACGTTGCCTGTCTGAATGCATAGTCTCTACTCAGTGGAAGACCAGCAAGACCGTGTTATTGTTTAAGGGTGACCTACGCGATATCGGCAACTATTGCTCAATCTGCTTGCTGTCTGTCATCTTCAAACTTTTCACACGAGTCATCCCAAACAGGATTGACAGAACACTAGGCGAAGGAGAGCCATGTGAGCAAACAGGATTTCGAAAAGGATTTAGCACGGTGGACCATATCTACACGGCAACACGGCTCAATGGAGCATTGCGAGAGTACAAAAGACCGCTCAGTCTCACTTTCATCGATTGAAAGAAGGCCTTTGACACAATTGAGATGGAAGCGGTCATGGAAGCGTTTGATAGTCAAGGAGTTCCTACTCAGTACATAAAGAATCTTCGTGAGCTGTACAATTATTTCACAACCAAGATATTACCATTCTACAACGATTTTATCACTGATGTCAAAAGACGAGTTAGGCAAGGCGATACCATCTTGCCAAAATTACCGCCACCCTCCAGAACGTCATGTTAACATTGGAATGGGATAATATGGTAGTGAAAATCGATGGTCGGCAGCTTCATCATCTTCGCTTCGCTGGTGACATCGTTCTTATAACACTAAACAACGGCCAGGTGGAACGTATGTTTGCCGACTTTGATAAAGCATGTGAAAAGATTGGTCTTTGACTTAATCTCACGAAAACGATGTTTATGAGGTATGGATTGGTTTCGAATGCCCCATTCACTATCAATGGAACGAATATCTCTGAATGCTCCAGTTATGTCTATCTAGGTCGGGAAATCAATATGATGAACGACTTAGCACTAGAACTGAGCAGAAGGAAATGAGCGGCTTGGGGAGCTTTCAACAGCATCGAGGATGTAGTGAAGAGGACAAAGAACACCCGATTCCATGTTCACCTTTTCGACTCAACGGTACTTTCTACCCTAACCTATGCGTCAGAAATCTGATCGCTGCGTAAGCAGGATGAAAGATCATTCAGCGTTATCGAACGCGCAGTCGAAAGGACGATGCAAGGAGTATCTCGTTTCACACAAGTAAGGAATGAGATCCAAAGCTCCGACGTGTGTCAGCGATCAAAAGTCAAAGATGCCGTTCTGTACGCCAAACAGTCGAAGATAAGGTGGGCAAAACATATAATGCGTATGGGTGACAACCGATGGACAAGAGCAGTTAGTGACTGAATTCCGCGGGATTTCAAACGTACTGCAGGAAGACCACTGACCCGATGGTCAAAGTTGTTTATGATGATCCTAGAAAAAAGATATGGTGCTCTACGAGTCTGTAGAGCGAGCAGAACCCACTGGGCCACTCTTGTACGCGACAGGGAAAAATGGAGGATTTGCTGGCGCCCGATCGAGTGAGTCACTTGACGATCAACGGGGCTACAGGAGATACAGGCAAAACGTAGATAGACCACTTGTGTGAAGAAAAACAAAGCTTAAAAAGTCAGTAAAAAACAAAAGACTTACCACGAATATGAAAAAAACCTTTGAAGGAAATCACATTCAATGTCAAGGGTAGATGTGTTTCTTATTCTACTTGCTCTAGGGAATGCGAATGAATGAATGGATGAGGTCAGAAACGGGAAAAGTCAACTGGCTGCCGCCATCCTGCATAAAGTTAGCCAACTGCTTGGATAAACAGGACTAGGAAATGTAAGCAAAAAAAAAATATTTTGGAAATAAAAACAGCAAGCTAAGGAACAATGATGGACGTGAGCAGAAGCGAGAAGACATGTACCACTATCGGCAAATGTAAGCGAATAAATGGTTCCTTCGTAATATATAGCTAAAGAAAGTCGATAGTTCACATTCTTTCGTTTTCTCG